ACTGTCAGAATGTTAGGAAGAACAACCTTCAGAACACGGCCAAAGAGCCCGGAAAACCCACAACAACCAGTGTTGCCAATTGTTACATTATGCAATATCCATGTTTACACATATGTGGGAAGTGTGGGCATTTTTTGGTGAAATCTGGAGGCTCATTGCACTCTTTTGTCTTTGTGCTACAGTGGTTATATATCAGCAGAACTGTGAATAGTACCAATGTTCTCCCATCTTCCCAGTCAGTTTTACTTTTTGTAACTTCATTAAACTTTCAGTAAAACTTACCTCTGAAGTTAGTGGACGTTTTTGAAGAAATGCTCAGCACTATCCTGACAGTGGTGATTTTCATAAATTAAAAATTTTTTCTCCCATCCTGCAGCTGCAACATGGTGAAAGGAATTACCTGAGAGCTGCAGGACAGAAGGAGGTGTTTAATTTCTGAGAAATTGACCCTGCTTATGAAATAATCAATCTTCCATGCACATAGATGTGTGAACAGGGTAATAGCTAATGTATATAAGTTTAATGTCAAATATTACTGCATCCATGCCCATGCTCATATAGAAAAGTAGATAAATTTGGTCTAGAGGGGCGGGGTAAAAATCAAATAAATAAATAAATAAATAAATCTCTATTACTTAAAACAGTTTGGATTTTCAGATATGCACAATTACAGTGAAGCTTGTATTCTTTCCTAAGGTTTACAAAGAAGATCTACCTCACCTTAAAGAACAATGCAAAGAAAAACGGAAAACTGCAGCCTCAAAAAGGAGAGAACGGACTCCAATTAATAGTTTAAGACTACACTTTGTTCATGGGTATGTAAATCAGAATTTTGCCTAGAAGAAAGAAATCAGGCAAGCAAGCCTAAACATGGATTTGGATGCCTTAGGGCCAAATTAGATACGGCATTGGAAGATCCTTGAGTCAACCTCATGTTTCTTTAAAAGGGCAAAGTGGCTATAAATGCTACATATTGGTCTATGATTGCAATACTGGGAGAAGGGTATAATTAATTTCCCAAACACTATTTTTCCGAATCAGCACAACACTACTGTTTTCATTGCAGTGGAAAGTATGAAAATATCTTAGTAGGAAAATACACGGTGCTTGTATATTTTTTCCTCCAACCAAATTGTTTTTATGTGTAACATTTAAATAAGGAAAATGTTCAACATCTTAACTATTTACCATATCACCAGTTCAACTGTTTTCATTACTCCACCTATATTGACCTTTTATTTTAAAAGAAGATTCGGTCAAATATTTCCTAGTACAGTATCTAGTTTGCTGTTTAATTAATATATAAAGATTTAAACCTATAAAGCCCTAAATGGTCTGGGTCCAAGCAATCTCAAAAGCTGTATCTCCCATATAGTTCTTAGCTTTAATATTGCCTTTTAATTATGTAAGATACCTCTTTATACTCTTTGTTCTTAGCTTTAAATAGCTGCCCTGTGCTT